TGTTCTGAGTCTCCTTGGCCATGTGATGCCATGTGAATCTGTGCGAGCGTCTGCAGGTGTCTGCTGTGCTTCTCATGCGTCCGTCGCTCAGTTTCCCACTTTCAGCCGCTTCATGACACGTTGCCGGACAAAAGACACTGGTACCCGTCTCTCAGTGCAACCCTGGCACAAGTGCCACAGGATCAGGCTGCAGGGGCGACGAAGGCTACTGAGTTACTGCACCTCCCCGACAGAGACCACCGCTGGCGCAACTCCGACTGAGGCCGGAGGCGCCTCAGACGGCGCCGCCGGCGCCTGGGCTGGTGACCGGGCCCAGGAGCTCCTCCTATGGCCCCGAGCTGCCGGCTTCCACACCCAGCCGCACAGCCGCCAGGCGAGCAAACGTGGCCCGGAGACCTGCCGGCAAGAGGCGAGTTGAGGCCAGGCAGCGCCACTGCCCAAAGTCTTTCGTGCGAGTCCTGGCAGGCCCTGCCTTTTTTGAGGAGGGTGGTGCGAGGTTCGTTGTGGCTCAGTTCCCCCAAAGGGCAGGGCTGCGCAGGACAGGGCTTCAGTGCTCGGGATGCAGTGCCACCACGAAGGTTGACTCCATCAAACACCCCATTGTCGCGAGGTGTGTGTCCAATAATCTCTCCGCATCGACCATCGGCTGCACAATGTACACCCCTAAATTTTGCAGTTGCATCGTTGTAAGTCGACAACCCATACAACTAAGTGCTGCACCGGATGCAGCACGCCGTGCCTGCCACTCACGGCGGTTCGATGCGACAGACAGAACTCTTCAGCCTCGAGCCTCTCGAGCATGCCATGGAAGAGCGGCCTGCAAACAGAAACAGCTGGTGAAGCTGCTCGTCGAAGCCATCGAACAGACACACAATGTTGCGGAGGATTATGTACCTTACGATGGCAACCGTTTGATGGAAGAAACTCCAACATTCAGCACTTGTAGAAGCTGTCAGGCATGGACCCTTAAAGTGGCCCTTTCAGTTCTTTTGGAGCCACTTCTAGCATGTCCTGCTATGCTGAGCCGACGACACGTCGCAAGTGCGCCATCACATCTCGCGTTCTGTGCGACATGGTCGAGCCTGGAGATCCAACACTGCCCAAAATGAAAAACGCAGAATCCAAAGCATTCCCTCTGAAGCCTTGCACGGCGCTTCCTTCTCGACAAACCTTCGTCCTCTGAGCTCAAGCTCTTGAGCCGACTGGAGACGACGGGCCGCAGAGCGCTCACACAAACCTTCGCTTCCAATCGGTGTGCGTGCAACAGGCCTGTCAAAATACGCAGCTGTAGACTCGTCGAAGCCAAAGTTGGCAATCCCCAGAACGAGTAACAACACATCATCCAGGAAAGGAAATGCGATGTCGCCTAGATTGAAAGGGGAGGCGAATCAGGGTAAGGATGTACGAGGAGGAAGACAAAACCACGGCCAGGATACTGCCTCGTGGTCACACAACCACTGTCAGTGCAGAATACCTAGGCCTCCAACGCACTACGCATTCACATCAGCAACTCTCCGCGAACGTTGCAAGAAAATGTCTCATATCCACACATGTTCCTTTGTTCAGTCTTCTGTAGTTTGGAACATTGAATATCGAAGATACCACAGAAAGCTATCCAGGGAATCTTCACTGATCCGAGTTAAAGAAATACAGTTTTGGCAACCCTTGGGTTTGCAACGAACGCTGTGGGATAGCGCGACAAATCAAACTAAAATGTGCAAGATTGGGAACCACTTCGAGATGTCATGAGGCACAGCATGGCGCCGAAATTGCGTTTGTACACGTCTTTTCAAGTTTACTGTCCGGGTTGCCTCAGCTCCAACAGACAAGCTGTTGCAGGCCAGCAGATGAGAGGTGTATCGGCCGTGGACGAGGGCTCTTCAAAACTAGTTAATGGAACACATCATCTGCTTCTTGCGCCCTGACCAGGTCGACAGCTTGGTGGGCCGATGTCGTGTGCAACCTGAACCCAACCCTAAACTCCCGAGCCCTAAAGCCCTAAAACCCCTAAAACTGCTCCTCGGTCACTTTCGAGCTCCCAGCACTTCGTGTAGACGGCCGGAAGCTGCACTGGCGGATCTCGCGCGCAACCAGAAGCCAGCCCTGAACCCGATAGTCCTAAAACTTTAAGCCCTAAATTACTCTTCGTTCACATTCGACCTCCCAGCACTTCGTGTAGACAGAAGACATCAGAAAAGCAATCAGGTCAAGGCAAACAGGTGGAAGCTGCAGTGGTGGATCTCGCACGCAACCAGAACCCAAGCCTACACCCGTTAATCCTAAAACCTTAAACTGAAACCCTAAATTGCTCCTCGGTTGCATTCGAGCACGCAGCATTTCGTGTAGAAAGAACAGATCAGAAAAGCAATCGAGTCGGAAAGCTCGTTGGCGCACCTCGCCTGCAACTGAACCTCAACCCGGATCCTGACGCCGAGAACCCTAGGGAAGAAGCCACTGACGCGCATTTGGGCGTCCAGCATTCCGTGTACACAAATAAGATGAGCCAAGTTTTCCGCTGATGCTGGGCATACACAACGAAGCAAGCAAGGCTAGCCAAGCCAAGCCAAGCTGCTTCGGGTGGTGGGCAGAAGCATTTGCGTGTTCAGCCTCGTTGGGCGGTGGGCTCAGAGGGTTGGCGAGTGACACAGCAATATACGGCGAGCCATATCGTCCGGAACAGCGAGGTTTTTACCGGATTGCTCCGAATCGATACGGTTCAGGATTGTCTTGGCCAACACCGCTTAATACAGTAGAAACAACCCTGTTCTGTCGTGCAGAACGACAGCATAGTGTAGCCATGGCTACTATGACAGACAAGGTGTTGCTCAGGATGAGCCGTAAGATTTGTCAATGTGCTGCCACGGAACATTAGGAAAAAAAGCACATGGGGAAAGAAAGGCACTTGCCAAGACCTCTGTCCGAAGTGTGCTTCGGGAAGAAATGCTCAAGCACAATCCCGAACTGAAAAAACAGATGTGCTTCACATGTTGCCGTTGGAAAGGACCTGAACGAGGTTTGGAAGGCGTGACCAATGAGCTGTTGTGACAAGGAAATAAAGCCGCACGGGCCTGGAGCTGAATCGCAGGTGCAGAGGTCTGCCGTTTCCCCCATCCAAGGAGACTCTTCCAAGAAATCGTCGGAGCCGATGCGGTGATCGGTGATCCGGAGCTGCACCGAGCAAGGGCCTCAAGCGACAAGCCCGACACCACAGCCATGTTTCAATCAGGATGACGAGGCTCTTCAATTTTAACCTGTGCAGACCAATCCCGCCAGCCGAATCCAGGGGCATAAAGGTTGATGAACGAGGAACCGCCGAGCAGCCCCTGACGTCTGCACGAGTCGTTCTTGTAAAAACCCTGCAAACAAGCAGCGATGCAGCAAGCACTCTAGAGGCTGTATCCCAGCCCCTGACATTTGGCACTTCAATGCCATGGCTGACACAAACCCTGCCTGAAACCCAGGTGGCACGAGCGCCGCCAGATCTATTGAGCATGCAGTAGCCAGGATGAAGTGCAACTAACGGTCTACGCGTGACTGTTGAACATTGTTGAGCCATATAGAAGGTGCATGGCAGAAGAATCCTTCGTGCGCATGGCTAGACAAGCTCGGATACTCTCCGCTTGAGCATTCTTTTGACACAGCACAACACTCTCAACCGTCAACCGTCCTTCGTCCGCAAACGGTCTAAGGCTTCTGCAAGCTTCTGGAAAGGTATCAAGAAAAAAGGCAATCGCAATCTACTGGGTGGTGGCCTAAGTCGCTGCAGACCGCCGAAAGTCGCTGTAATGCTGCTTCTTCCCATGATGACTCGCGAACTGGCGAAAGTCACAGCAGGCGCCAAAACGTCACAGCACGAGTCAATCCCCAATGTGACGGGTGGTTTGACATGGCATCGCCGCAGAAGGAAAACTGTGCGATTCGATGGAAATGCTGCGACAGGGCTGGGAATATGTGGAAGATGCACGAGAGATCCACATCCCGGAAACCACATACCACCATGGGGACGCTCGATTTGACATGGCAAAATCATAAGAAGCAAACTGTCCCGCACACGATATCCCAGCTATTCCCCATGTAGACACGCGATTTCACAAGCAAGCCGGCGAGACACACGTCAGTCACATCAGTGACATCACATCACATCAAAACAAGTCAATCCCCATGCAGACGCTCAATTTCACAAGCCCGCGTGGCACAGACGCTCGACTAGACAAGCACCAGCTTAAGAAACACATCAGTGGCCTCGCAGCAAATCAAAACCAGCCATTCCCCATGTGGACGCTCGTTTTGCTAGCACTAGCTCGAAAAACACATCAGTGAGTCAACTACTCGAGACACAGATCAGTACAACACATCAGAAGCAGCCGGCCCCCTGTAGACGCTCGATTCGACATGGAACGATCGGCTAGCAAGAAAATACGAACCCAGTGTGAAACCCCAACTGTCTTACTACCTACGGACCTACTCGTTCGAAGGAAAGTTCAACCAGGAGAACTTGCATTTGCCTGCTACCGGTTGGAAAACAACTTGCCAGAATTCACAGAATTTGCCATATGCAGTCCGTTTCCTTATGCTGGCCACTAAGTCTAGCGAGAATTCCGAAGAAAGCAGAACTTACCGCCGAAAGATACCAACATGCTTGTGTTCCAAAGAAGTCACAGACAGAAAGCTATTACTAGAATTCAAGCTTCAAGCCTTCGCCGTGAAGGCATGTTGTGGAAAGCTGGTTTTAATTGCTGGTCATCTGGCGGCACAATGAAGGACAGCTACTGCAAGAACAACGTAAATCACCGATTGGAACTGGAACACTCAACATGTGCAGGAAGACAGCTTCTGATGAATGCGCGTCAGAAAGTTGGCCAGGAAGTGAGCAAAAAGCAACACGGCTTCAGCTGAGCACTGGCGCTGCGAATTGGAAAGTACAATAGATTTCAATAAATCAGCCCTTGCATTTCATTTCAACTGCGCAGCCTTAAACAGTGAAACTTCAGTTGCTGGAGTGTTTGGGGAGCCGTGCGAAGGTCTGCAGACGTTGTATAAAGCATCTGAGCATTGGTTGTCAATTACGTTGCAACGAATTCATGCAACGCCTTCTCCTCTCAGAACTGTCCGGAACCGTACCTGCACGAAAGTGCTCCCGTACTGCCGTGCACATCACAGTGGCACCCGGCGTTCCCTCAGGAAGTGGCTGGCCGGAGACTGGGCTGCCACCAGGGGGCGCTCCAGGAGAGGACTCACGAAGCGAAGAGCGAAGCGAAGGGAAGTCTGTGGAAGTCTCAAAAGCTGCCGTCACCATAGCCTGCAGCTTCTGCATCTCCGCTGCAAACTTCATCTGAGCCTGCGCAGGTGAGCCGCAGCAGCAGCGGTGAACGCCAGGCCGACAGCTCTCACGGCTTGTGCTCTGACTCTTGGGCTGTAAGGGTCTGAAGTCGAGAGTTTTGTGGTGGAACGGATCTTGAGTTCGCTGTGCACCTGCACTTCCAAGCTTTCATGCTGCCAGCTCTGAGGTCTGACGGTTCTGCAGCCAGTGCTGTGAAGGCTTCCAGCTGATCTGTCTAGCACCGGAAAATCTTGATATGGCATATATATATATATCTATCTATCTATCTATCTTGGCATATCTTGGCACCATGCGCATTCGAATTTCGTCTCATATACTGCTGCTGGCTGCTTACGCTTGCCCAGTTCGAGCTTGCCAAGTGACCATGCTAGTTGAAACCGGGCTCACATGGAGCTCAATCTTAGTCTGGAAACGAAAAGCCAAACCCGGCTCCATGTTGCAGTAGGTAACCGACGGTGTCCTCAATATGCTCGCGCTGTAGTTGCTGCTGCTTGGCAAGCATTTCTTCTTGCGACCTGATTTCAGGCAAGCTTGAGTCTCAGAGTCAAAGTCTGGGTCTTGAAGTCTTGAACCTTTTCTGTTGGTACTCCATCACAAGCTGCATGGCCTGCAGCAGAGATGCTTTGTGGTTGGCATGATTCCTGCTGTCACACTATCCTCGCGAACCCAGTGCACCCGCATCAGATTGCCTGCGTCTCCAGCGCAGCTTTCTGCTGCGCAGAAGCCTGTTGCACCTGGACTGAGGTGTTGAACTGACAGCAGCGAAAACGTTGGCACTACACTGTAGTCGCAGCTTGGATCACCGAGCTGACAAGAAACTCGCTTCAAACACAACACTGCGAACCTGCATCAAAGACTGGTTGTACTGCTGCAAAAGTTGCATTTCCTGCTGCTGCACCTGCATCTCGGTGGCCACACGGAGCTATTCAAAAGACATTCTGTATGGTATGATGACATCACCTGCAATTGCTGCGAGCCTGCTGCTTGATCTGCATGTCAACCTGCTGCTTTTGCTGCTGCGCCTCCGCGTTTCAGAACTGAAGCCCTATATAATTATTCCTCAGCTACACTCTGGCCTGAGTGCGGAGGTATTCAGACTGCTGCCGCCGCTGCTGCTCCAGGGTGTTCTGTCACAGAGGCATTGTTTCGCCGATGGCATCGACTCAAACTCACGACGAAGTTGCGCGCCTGCCCTTGCTTCAACTGCTCGTCCAAAAGCCTCCGGGCAAGATTCTTTCTGCATCAGGCATGCAAACACAATTCAAGCTTCGACAACTGCAATCGTGGTGGCCTGATGTAACCTTCTTTCTGCTTCTGAATCACCTGTCCGTCTTCAATTGGTTCGAGGATGTTCGAAAAACAGCCGACACGATGCCTCGGGGCTGGGCAGGCCACCACCTGGCACCAAGGCCTGAAGCGACTCACGCGCGTCGTCCGTCGCATCCGTCGCAAGGGAGACAATCGCTGCTTGGCTTCGGACTCCACAGCCTCCAGGCCTCGGCCGAGCACGGGACTCGCCAGCTGCCTCTGCTCCCCAGCTGAGGTCGTGACTGCTGAGCATTCGAGAAACTTTGAGCCTGCAGTTGAGGTTGGTTCAACACCTCAGACGAGTCCAGCTCGTTTCTTGCGGTGTCCATCTCGCGAACAAGCCAAGACGACGGATGAGGCAACAGCTGGCGGGGAAAACCCAGGCAGCTGAACAGCAGGCGGTGGAGGAGTTTGGAGCTGCGGGACCGGTTGCCCGGCTTGCGCAGGGGCTCCGTACCTCAAGTAACCCAAAACCTGCCAAAAACATTGTTGCCAGTGCCACCCACAAGACTCGGATCCCAGCGCCGGCATCCCACTGTTGGTCAGGCCTGCCTCGCATAACCGCATGCGACACGACGCAAAGCATCGCAGTGCAGCATTCACAGACGCCGTAAGCCGTCTGCTCCAGAGGCCGGAACGCCTTCGGCACCGGGCCTTGTTGCGCATTCTCTACCGCGTACCAGAGCTCACACGCAGTCTTCCACGGAAGCTTTGACTGAGCATTTGTTTCAACCACTCAAGATGGAAGGCTTGCTCAACGAATGTTGCTTGTCTTACCCCACGACTGGGGTTTTCGGAGGATCGCATAACACAGAAGAACACTGTATTGGACTATATTGCACAACTGCTGTCAAGACTGACTTGCAAGCAAATATGAAGAGTACAGGAGCACTGGCAACTTCAGACCCACGACCTAGCTGCCCCAGCCGATCAAATGTGAAATCGCACCCATTCCTCACTTACCGCACAGTTGGCCAGGACTGCCGAATCCCAATCTCATCATGATCAGTCTTCTGACAACAACCATTGCAATTGCGATTTCACATCGAATTCGTTGGCGGCGGTCATCGGCAGACAGCTGTTGCTGAATGAGAAACTCTCGATGAGAAAGCAAGAGCGACGAATCAGTTGAGCCGTTATCTTCTATAGACGGTGGAGCATGAGATGTCTGCTTCAATAGTGATCCGCCACAGAATTACACTTGTCAACCGAGAAATGAAATTTATTCCGGAGAGAAAAAACGACTGCCATGCACAAAAACACCGACACGAGTGACAAAAACGACCCGCAGCAGCCACAAAAACAACACTTATCCAAAAGAAATCCTGTTTCCGAGGCTGATTAAGGGCAGTTTTCGGGGCTCCGTGGATGACTTCTCGGAAGTTCCCTGGCAAGGACAAATTCGGCAATTACGGGGCCGGATAATATCGCGTCTTTGTGGCTCCGGAATCTACATAGCAGGTGGTTTTGTCGCTCAAATGCCCAAGCCTGGGAACCTGCTATAATAAATAGTCCTCGGAGCCACACGGAGCCCCCAAAACTCGGCTCCAAAGCTTCACTAAACACTCGGAAACACTACATGTCTGAGATAAGTGCTGTTTTGTGGCTGATCCGTTTTTGCGGCTCATAGCTCATAACTGCTGCTTTCGTGGTTGGATAAGTCTGTGGGGTTCAACAAACAGATAATTGATGTTGCAGTTGGGCAACTGTTGTTTTCTTGTGGTTCACTGTTGTGACATGTTGCGACGAAGTTGAGCTGGTGACCCCGTGAAGAAGCTGACTTACGCAGCTTGTGCCGCATCGAAAAAGACATCTGGTCAGCCTCTGTCAGAACTCTGTTTGAGTGGTTCGTGGACTTGGGGTGTTCCCAGCTGTCTGCATGGAAAAACAAATTTGTGCCATCAAGGGTCAAGCTCATCTTGTCTTGAAGTCCCTGTCAAACCTTATAGCTGCCTTGATCGTCTGGTGTGCCAAGCCAAGCTTTGTTGTTCGAGCTTAGCTACCACCTCGTCTTTCCCCTTTCTCTCGGCCTTGTGCCTCTCCTTAAGGTGCTGGTAAAGGAGGTGGGTCCTAGGGCTGCTCTTACTACCCCCCGCTCGTCTCATTGTGTGTCGCCGGTGGGGTTGTGGCCTTTGCCCGTGTTCTGGTGGTTTCTCCCATCCTCTTCGGCATTGTGTACTTCAAGGATGCCCCGGCCGCTCAGCATCCGGGTTCACTTCTGTGGGCCCTCTTCACCTCCTTTTCCTCTGACCCCTTCAGCCGGGCTCCCATCCATATCGTGTGTTGGTCTCCTTCTGTGCGTCCCTGCCACTATCGCGGACATGCCCTGGTTGGTGTTCTCCTTCCAGCATTGCAGCATTGTGGTTCCGTCACATGTTGGTCTCATCTTGCCCGGCATGGGCCAGGTCAGAAATGGTTTTGCACGTTCCTGCACGACCCTTGTGAAGAAACACATCGGCGAGTGACCTCAAGCCCCCACCACGTCCCAGTCGACAGCCGGGTTCCCACAAGGGGGACACGGCTACGGCACTCTTTGCTTTGCTTTGCTTGGGGTCAGGACCAAGAGCAGTCCTTTTGGCCGGCGCCGAAGCTTCCCCATCCATCTTGTTGATTGAAAGGGCTCTGCTGTACGATGGTCCGAGGACCAGACTGAGTGAAAGGTTGAGTGTGCCACCGTGGGGGCAGGGGCTGACGCAGAAGCATGTGACATGTGCCCCCACTGTTGCACTTCTTACGTGTATCCCCCCTTACCTGCCTGACAGGGTCAGGCAGGTAAGGGATCCCGAACGGAAGCCTCAGCCCAGCACTCGCCTGGACCTTCCACTCAACCCTGAAGCCTCGTGCAGTGGGTGCTCCTGCTGCCAACCAACAACTAACAACTCGCCTCCGCACTTGCCTAAAGGTTTGTTGCACCCACTCGTTTCCGCAAGGTGCCTGCCTGGGTGCCCCTCTTGGACTTCCAAGACACCTTTGCCTAGAGGTACAATGCCCACACACGTAAGGGTGCACCCGTGCAGTCCTGGCTCAGTCGAGGTTGGCGTGTAGCCGCCTTCTTCTATGCGACAGCTTTCGGAAGCTGGTGCCTCCTCTGTAGTCCTTGCCGTCGTCACTGCAGCTGCCATCCACGGCACGTTCTCTGCTTGGCTCGTCCCACTGTCCGGTTGCTCCGGGGCCGTGGCCCGCATCTGTCTTCGCTGTGTGTCCCCAGCTGGTCGTCGCTGGTAGGCGTCTGTAGTGTGCCCCAATCGTCGTCTGTTGGGTCCAGGGCCTTTGTCAGGCGCAGGTGCTGCAGCGCGTCCAGGTAGGTCAAGTGGCACGGGCCGTCTTGCTCAGGTCCTCTTCCGTCTCCCTGTTGGTGCCGCCTATTTCCCCGGTGGGTATTTCCCCGTTTGGCTGTCTGGTTCTCCTGCCTTGTGCCTCGCGCACTGCCTGAGGTGCCTCCACTCAGCTGCTGCGTCCAAGTCGGCCTCCTCTTCGTTGGGTGCCCCCCATGCTGCCTGGTGTGCTTCGCTTGCTCCCTCGGAGAGTTGGAGCAGTCGAGTCCTCCGTGTCGTCGGCCGGGGCGTTGTTCAGGGAGTGGAGGATGTTGCTGCAGATCTCATCTGCACTCTCCGCAAAGTCCTCACCTCTGTGAACTGTCCCGTGGAATTGGCGGGCACCCTCCTGCAAAAGCTGCTGCACTTCGTAGAGGTCGATCGTGCATTACGTCCGCAGTGTCCGGGTGCCCCCCCCATCTCACCGAGGGCCCGGATCGTCGTCAAGCAGAGTGGTACCCGGTCGACTGCGGTTGCATGTGGGTGAGGTGGGAGGCTGGTGCGCTGAACCTGAGGGTGGGTCGCTGCTGCTGGCTGCGCCTTCTGTGCCCTCCTCCTGGCTTTGTGGCTGGAGCACAGCCAGGGCTTGTTGCGCCTGCAGCTGTACCTCCCCGGCCGTCATGTCGATGATGCGTAAGAGGCATCTGGCTTTGGCGCTGCAGCTCTGGCTACCTGTTTGCCCCCTCTGCATGAGCTCTGTGCGGTCCTTCGCTGGGCCAGTCTCTCTCACTTTCGTCTCTCGCGTCTTTAGCTGCCTGCTTTGCTGCGTGCTGTCTGTGTCTGCCTCTGCTGCGGGGTCTCCTCTGCTGCTGAAGCTGTGGCTGGGGTGTTGTTTGTTTGTGGTTGGTGGCTGGTGTTGCCGGTTGCTCCGGCACTTGCTCTGGCTCTTATGGCTTATGGTGCATTTGGCCTTTGTGCTGCGCGAACTGTACCTCCCTGCGTGCCGTGCTCTTCTCCCCGAGGTTTCTTCTGCTCCTCGTCCCAGAAGCTCATGCCCCGCCACGTTAGGAGGTCCAGTGTCGTGGTGTCCCTGCGATCTTGAGGGAGCCCCCAGAGTTGAAGATGGCGCATGTCTGCAAGCGGTTTAGGCCGTGCTCTGCCAGGAATTTTTCGAGTATGGCGACGGTCTCTTGCACGTGTGCGATGGACTCGCCCCACACGTAGACGTCGTCCATGTACCCCGCACTATGGTTGGGGGGGTGGGGGGGAGGAAGGGGTCCGGGCCATGCGGCCGGTTGGTCACCTTCTCCTTGGTCTGCTGCAGGTCGACCGGGCTCGCCAATGAAGACGCTGGTGCCTCCGACTTGGACTTGCATGCCTCTAGCGTGTAGCAAGGAAAGCCCAACCCGCGCTTCCCATGGGTCCCCTTCGCGGCCGATGCGTGCCTTGACCAAGTCGCACATGCTCCGCTGTGACGCCGAATCGAACTCCTTCTTCACATCTAGCTTCACAATGACGAAGGGTCCCCCCCCAATCGCTGGCCATCCTAGCGATTTTCCTGATCGCTAGCAGCATTTCCACGGGTTGGCCCTTTTTGGAGCATCACTGCAGTTTGGATGGGTGCGAAGAGGTGCTGGGTCCGATACAAGAGTAGCTGCGCCAACCACTTCAACATCGAAGACGACATTGTTATGGGGCGGGTATCCGCCCCACGGACTCTCCGTCTCTTTCTTTGCTTCGCTCAGGCGTGTGGCGGTCGGGGCTTTCAGCCCCAACCCCTGCACGCACGGTGCTACGCCAATGGTCCGTGGTATCCATGGCGCAACTAGCATATGGAAGGCTCTTCCATTATAACACCGAGCCGCCCTGATACGTCCCCGCTACGTGCAAGCGTTCTCGCTCTCGTCCAAGCTTGCTTCCGCACACGAGGGTGGGATCCAAGCGGGTTGGACCCGCGCTTAGGCACCCCCTTTCCCGTCTGGTTTGCAAAAGTCGGAACGTTGGGCGAGGCGAAACCTCCGGCCTGAACTCTGGCCCGCATCCCGGCCTCATCACCGCGCCCTCTATATGGCAAGTCCTATGCCTCTGGCAATTAACCAATCCCCCTTGACGTCTCGATCCTAAAGACGCTGATGTCTGGTTTTGCAAGGAACAAACTAGCAACTTGGCACAAGGTTCACGGCCGTTCCCCTTCAGTTCCCTGCACTTGTCTTGGGTTTTCTAATCAGCCGTCGTCGCTGGAAATGCTGAAAAGTATTGTGTTCGGCTAGTAAACTG